AATAGTTAAAACTATTCCTCCCAGTACCACACATACACTTTTGTCCCAGGATTCCACAGAAGTATGTTGAGTCCAGATTAACAACATGGTTCAGGCTTAGGATCTGATTCCACCCGTTATGATAAGTGCCGGACTGTAGGCCAGTTACTTAACTGGATGTGCTTCAGTTTCTACAGCTACAAACTGGGAATCGTAAAGAGTGGTGCCCACCTCACAAAAGTGTTGTGAAGTGTCGTGAAGATGGAAAGTGGCTGACATAACCCACGCAGAGCATGGATTACATCACCCACGTAAAGCAGTGTTACGGCTTTGGTCTAGATGTCCCCCCAAAGTCTCACATAGTCATGGTGCAATGCTAGCATTAAGGGTATGAGTGTTACCCACCCTAACTAAGGGTGGGTAGCCTGGCTACGATATAAGGGACAGAAAGAGGCTAGTTGCAGCTCTCTTGCTGTCTTCTGCCTGCCATGAGCTGTTTCTCCCCTGCAGTGCCCCTCTGCCATGCTACCCTGACTTGGAGTCAGCCAATTATGAATAGAAACCTCTACAAACTCTGAGATAAATAAATGTTTCCACCCTTAACTTATGGGTGTTGGGTGTTTTGTCTCAGCAATGAGAAAAGTAACTAAGACAAGCAGTACATGGCCCAGAGTAGGTCCTGAGAACTATGGGTTATTAAGATTATTGTTATATAGACCAAATCTCATGTCTCTTGGAACACAGACCTTAAATATAAAAATAAGAGATACCCAATTCTCATTAATCTACTCTCATCTTTACAAAACAGCCTCTTCCTTTAAATAGTTCCAGATTTTGCCATATTATGGAAATTCTCCACTGAACGTATGTGACTGTGTCAATGTCCTCTTATAATGTAAGGCCCAGAAATGGCATATTCTTTCTGTGACCTGAGAGGGAAACAAGCCTAGGGCCAATCTTCTTACCGCGCTTGTTCTCCTGTTCCACTCACTGTATTCTTTCTCCCCCTTATCTCTGTGTTTTTCCATCGACCTTGCTCCTCTCCCTCATGCTTTTGCAGCTGACTTTCTAAACTAAAGCAGGGATTATGTCCAACCACCCTAACTATAACCTACTGAATTCCAGCCTGCATCTGAAGCTTCAGAAAACTGATTTTTCCTTATTACACATATTAATTACCCCTCTGAACCCTAAACATCAGGAATCTTCTAAATCATCACCCAGTGAGAGCCAGACACTTAAAAAATCTCAATTCAGGTTGACAAGAGTCATTTAGAGATGGCCTTTTGAACTAACACTTAGCCACAAAATGGTACTGACATCCAAGTCGTATTTTTCCATATTGCCTTCATAGAGGATCTTGTCGGATGGCTCAAAGCAGAACAGATATACTGCATCTACCCCTCATTCTTTATCTGCCGGCTTGGATACCGCGTTCACAGAAGGAAAGGAAAGCAGTTTCATCAGCTTCATTTTTAGCATGCTCATTCTGACTTACAGAGATACTACTCTACACCTATCATTTCTCATAATAAATGCTTACAGTAAAACCTTGAAAGATTTAAAGTATTCAGGGGGCACATTGTGCCGATTTATCATACTTTCTGCTGAAAACAATTAATTAAAAGTATATGTATTTTCATACAGATAAATACTTTCCTATAATGTCCTAGCTCACATTGCTGCCTTTCCCTTTCCTACTACTCTACACCTATCATTTCTCATAATAAATGCTTACAGTAAAACCTTGAAAGATTTAAAGTATTCAGGGGGCACATTGTGCCGATTTATCATACTTTCTGCTGAAAACAATTAATTAAAAGTATATGTATTTTCATACAGATAAATACTTTCCTATAATGTCCTAGCTCACATTGCTGCCTTTCCCTTTCCTAGGTGAGTTGTATCCTGGGATCTTCATTCTCTGCACTGATTCTAATGAACAGGTCTGTAGATATAGGAAGAATGAGAGTGGTAAAATCCACACCAAGCTGAGATACCCTGGGCTTTCCTTATACTCCCAGTATGACCTACATTTGTATTATATATCTGTCATGGAGAGGAAATGAATATAAATCGATAAAACAGTTTATGACTTCTACAAACAGTATCAGCTCTTTAATGATTTATCAATTACTCTTATTGGGTTAAATATTTTTAACAAAGAAATACAAATACCAAAGAGGTAGATTTTTAAAATCTATCACTTTGAGATAAGCCTTTGAAACTTAACATGTTTCCAAATAAATTTATATGAATGTATCTTTACAACAAAAAGTGCTCTTTTCACAGTGTGAGAGTAAAGATTTATCTATGATTGTGCCATCTAAGAATAGTTAACATCATTGTTTAAATATTTCTGTCTAATTTTTGAAGTTATAGATAATTTGCCTGACAAGCTAAACATTATTTTATGACTTGGAAGGTGCTACTAGTGCTTTTCAAAAGGGCTGCATTAGTTTATATTTCCACCAGCAATATATAAAAGTACCAATTCAACTAACCTTTTGACAACTTTAGATGGTATATCATTTTTAATGTTATTGTGCTTTGTTATTAATACCAGTGTTGAAGATAGTTTCTACATATTTACTTATTCAGTTAATTTCTTGCTTGTTTCTTTCTTTGCCAGGCCATTTATTGAGATACTAATGATTTTCTTCAGACTCATGCTGCTTATTTATCTTCTAATTATTTGTATTTATTATAAATGTACTAATTTCATAAAGGCAGGAACTACTTGCCTAACAATTTGCTACAAATATTATTTCCTAATTTCTACTTAGTAAAATATGTTTCAGTTTTCTTTAGTGGTTTTTCTTATTATGTCCAACTTTGAAAAGACAGAGTCAGGCCAAAACTACCAAAACATAAACACAAATTGGCTTTGTTTGTATTTATCCTGGCCTGCAGAGGTAAGTACTAAAGTCTGTGGCTACATTTGGTTATACATTTGCCACCTACAAAACTGTCATCAAAGTGAAAATACCAGTTTAAAAACTCTCATTAAAAACTCCTCAGTGCCATAGCCTCACCACATAACACAATATTTTCTGATTAGGGATTGGTTAAAGAGTTTTACATTTTGTTTTTCTTTCTTCATAATTTACTCAGAGGAGCTGAAATTTTTCTCCATTTCATTAGTGCTTCTAATATTGCCTTTAATCTCAAAATTATGTCAAGAATACCTTGTTACTACAGCACAAAGGAAGTCATATTCCTTGCCCTTCCTTAACGTTCTTATTTATATAAGATTATTGCTTCTGTTGTTTTATCCCTTCACTCTCCTAACCCACGCTCCACCTCTTCATATGATTTTCTATGTCTGATTTTAAAAGTTATTTTCCCAAGCAACCTCCTTCAGTGTTAAAGTGACAGAAAACATTCTTATTAGCTCTTTAAAGTATATTTCAGTATAATTACATATTATTAAATTGGCATGTGTTAGAATGACTTTCAGTTACCACCATACATTAATCAAAAATTAACTGCTTCATTCTTCCATTACACCATTTTGCTTTGAAGAACCTAATAAAATAAGTCCCTTGCACTGGCTTTTGCAGTTAAAAAATGGGAAGATACCCATGGTTGGGCAACTTTGAAGTGTTAATGAACATAATAATAATAGCACTATTTCTATGGTTAAATAACAGACTCCTGTTGTGCTTCTGAAAGGTCCTGTGATATTGAACGGAGGAGTTGAGCATGGGGTTATGTCTCGCAGGATGGGCACCATTTGCCTATGAGGAACAGAGCAGGACTGCCAGAGGCTAACCACGAAGAAGGGCCGATTCACAAGCTTTTCTCTTCGTGATTATTTTGCCGCTATACCATCCTCAAAAAAGTAATTCAGGCAGGTATTTTTATCAGCATTCTAAGATCAAAACAACAACCCTAAAGATATAGATCAGGTCAGACTTTCTTCTTACTGAATTCAATTGAGCCACTAATGGCTATCAATTAGTAAAGGAAATAAAATTCACTGATCACAAGGGATTAATTACTTTTCTATACACTACCTGCTTAATGGGGCTTCAAATGTAATAATTTAAACATTATTCTTATTTTAAGATTTAAAAGGTTCAGAAACCATCGTTACAAAAAAATTTCTTGACCTGAGTAACTAAGTTAATTAATCTTTTTCCAGATGTTAAGGAAACAAATGAGATAAGTAAGAATTAATAGCTACTTACATATTCTGGGACTAAATAGCAATATATAAATATTTTTTAAAGAATTTAAAGTTTTAACTAAATAAGACGCAAAGCTCTGGGACAAAATTTCTCCACAGCTGGGACATTTCTCCTTACCCTCTCGCTAGCTTGGTCTCTATTGTCATTTCTGTTCCTTAAACACGCCCAGCTTACACTCTTCTCAGGATCTCTGGATTTGCTCTTCACTCAGACTGGAGTACTGTTCCTCCAGGGTCTCCTTCCTGTTCGCTCCTGGTTATGATACTCTCAGCACGAATGCCACAGACCCCTGGACCACCTGCCTAAGGCTGGTAATCCCTGCACCACACATGCGCCCTCCGTGGCAGTCTCATGCACACACCCTCACTTTTCTTCACAAATCACTCCCGAAAATCATTTCATTTTTCATTCACGGGCTGGCTCCCCACCAAAATGAAGGCTCTGTGAGAACAGGAACCTTGTCTCCCCACCACTGTTCTCAGCAGCATCAGTAACAGTACCTGGCACACAGTGGATACCCAACACCGCTTCCTTAATAGATGAACACATCAAAAGAGTGTTGCTCCAGAAACAGAACAGTTCAATAGCAATGAATGTGTCAATTACATATTCAGATTAAGAAGCTGAATAGCCTCCAGTGGAGTGTTCAAATAATTTTTCTGGATTTTATTAAAACAAATATTATTTTAAGTACTTCAAACTTGTTCATAATAAAAGCTGTCGGTGATGTGTCCATTATGCAGAGATTCTGTGATATGGATGTTTACAGGAGGGATTCTATGTGTGTTAAACACTAAACAGTATCATTCGTCAACAGGGAGGACCAACCTGCTGTTCGTGTCGCTGTTTCACGTCCTCTAGCTGCCATAAGAACTCCTTTGACTGTTTCTCACGAAGAGATTTGGATCTTGTCAGATCTGCTTCCACTTTTTCCATCTATAAAATTGGAAAAATCATTTTAAATCTTTTGAACAAAAGTTGTTTTCCATATGCTTTTTAAATTTTTCCATTCATTAAAATGTCAGATTTTATACAATTCACCAATCATGATAATAAATTTAATGACAATAAAATGAAACCTTTATTAATTTAATACATTTTAAAAGTTAATGAGGGAAATAAAAATTAAGATACAACACCATGTTCTAGTAGTATAACAATTTTTTTTGTTTTGTTTTTTGTTTTTTTTCCAGTACCAGGAATCAAACTCATGACCTTGCGCTTGCCAGGCAGGCACTGCGCCGCCGAGCTAAATCCCCAGCCCCAAGTATAACAACAATGTCATGAAAATATAACTTTGGACATTCAAATATTTATTCAGTATGATTTTATTAGCTATGTGCTTAATGGGAGGAAATACTTGCTAATCACACATCTGATAAGTTTTATCTAGAACATATACAGAATACTTCCAACTTGCAATAAATGGGTAGTTAACCAAGGTTTTAAATGTGCAAAGGATCAGAACAGACATTTCTCCAATGAAGATACACAAATGACCGAAAGCATATGAAAAGATGTCCAGCATCACCATCATGAAACAGCTGCAGATTTAAACAAGAGTGGCATAACACTTCGCACTCACTAGGACAGCTACAAGCAAAAAGACAGGTAGTGACAAGAGGTATTCGTGAAGATGTGGCAAAATCAGAACTCTTGACGGTGCTGGTGGGAATGTAAAATGGTACAGACATACTGGAAGACACTGGAAATTCCTCAAAAGGTCAAATGCAGCGGTAACAGGTGACCTAAGAATGCCATTCCCAGGTAAAAGATAAAAATATACACAGGACATATCAACTTCAGGTTTACTAGATAATTGACTTTTTCACTGAAACTGGTTTTTTTTTGTTTGTTTGTTTGTTTTTTTTAGTTTTTTTCTCCGGTACTGGGGACCGAACTCACGACCTTGCGCTTGCCAGGCAGGCGCTTTTGCCGCTGAGCTAAATCCCCAGCCCCTGAAACTGTTTTTAATGTCTGCCTGCCCCAGTGTAATACAGCCCTGTGTTTTCTGACGTAGCCCACCACTTAGCACCGTGCATGTGACACATAAGGATTCAATAAATAATAATAAAGACACAATGTACTCATTGCAAGATTTGCTAAATGTACAATACTCAACATTTAGTGCCAGATTCTTTACAACATATACAACATTTAACAAGTGTTGATCTCATTTTCTCTGTTACTCTGTGGATAATCTCATCAGATGTTCTTTTACATGTGACAGGGAAGAGATGTTCTTACAAACAGAAAAGAAAAAGCTCTCCATGACAGTGACATGAAAATGGTACCTTTCCTTCAAAGCAGGATAGCATTTCATCTGTGCTTCTATCACTGCATGTATGGATATGATTTAGGAAAATGCTTTTATCTGAGACAATCGTCAGTTAATCTGACAATCATTCTACCACTGGACAATTTTATTTATACTGCTCCACTGGTCTGTGGAGCTACTTGTCCTTTTCTACTTGCACACAATGCTCTCTCTGAGGTTATCTTTTGGTAAACACTAAGGTTAGCTAAAACATGAACATTAAAAGAAATGAACCATGAAATTATTTCCTTCACAGTTTTCACGTCAGATTTAAAACATCAGATGCATTTATCCAGACATAATTAAGGTTCTAGGAACAAATATGCTCAGAGACAAGCGACCACGTTTTACTGCATGCGAACAAAATGCATCTACCACTCCCCCATTGCTAGGAAACAGACATCTCATTTCAGCTTCTGATTCTTACATTGAAGTCGGGACTATTTACATTCTGGCAAGGTATTTAGTTTTTAAGCATGTCTTTGTAAATACCAAGGACTGTAACTTTGAAAATACTAATACAACAGTTTCCAAAATCAATGACAGAGTTCTATGATTATCGATCAGAAGTAGTTAGCATTTTTGTAAATCATAAGTTTAAGGACTTAGTAAAGGAAGTACAGTGAAGGCTACTTTGTTTTCTTTTGTTTCTAGCTCAACACTTGGGTTTCAAAACTCTAGTTCTATCAGCGTTTGTCACTTCAGACCTTAGGCAGGAGGTTCCATAACCCTCACCAACACGCACCCCAGTACTGATGTTTCCCAAACGAGCCTGGCTATTCACATTATCTGGTTGGCCCTTTTATTTTTCCCTAATCCAATCAATCATGAAGGTTACATCTGTATTTACCAGGGCAGCTCAGAGGGGACTACACCTTCAGGAACTTTGCATAAGGCCTCCCCAGGCCTGAAAGCAAACTCTCACACCTACATATCTGCAGAGCATGCAATCCTACCTGACCCTAGGAGTTAAGCAGCGAGCTCTGAAGCACAGGCGGAAGATGTAAGCCCAGGACTACACGTAATTGTGAAGCATGGCCTCTGTCTGCCCATCCCAAGCAACAGCAGTGCCAGAAATCATACCTAGAGTCTAGCCTGAATCCCTGTCCAAATACAAACTCCAAACAGTAGTAGCACCTAGCCAGGAAATGCAGCCTGCAGTGCTGCCTGATCAGAAGTGATTGCAGAGCTTGGCCAGCAGCTGTATCTGACCTAGACAGTGCTACTACCAGACCATGGAATGCCGCCAGCAGTGCAGCCTAACCTCAGAGTGCAGGAAGTGGCCTGACCTAACTGAAGAAACCAGCGGCTAGGTCTACCTGCGTGCAGTCACTATCAGCTGGCCCACACAGACTCTCAGGACAGACTAAGTACTGAAAACCTATCTTCACCAAAGAGTACCTACAAATGCTGGGAGACATGACTGCTTTTTTAAATACAGAGACACCAAGGCAAGAACATAAGGAATAGGAAGAATCTGGGAAATATGATACCACAAAAATGTCTCATAGTTCTCCAGTAATGGACTTCAAAGAAACACACGTCTCCGAAGTGACTGTATTGAATTCAGAATAATCTTCTGGGACTGGACACAGTAATTCTGCCTGTAATCCCAAGTATAGTACTTGAGGAGCTGAGACAGGAAGATCATAAATTTGAGACCAACTCAGGAAATATAGTGAGATCTTGCCTCAAAAACAAAATAACCCTAAATAAAACAGAACACAAAATAATCTTCCTAAATAAGCTCTGGGAGCTATGGGAAAATATGGATAAACACATTAAAGTGAATTTGGAAAATTATAATAAAATGATAAATTGGAACAAAATGGAAACAAGTTTTAAAAACAGAAATCCTAGAGATAAGCAATGCAATAACTGAAATGTAAAATTCAAAAGAAAACTTGCACATCAGCCTTGTTCGTGCAGAAGAAGGAATCTGCGAGCTCAGAGACACAACAGCTGAAGTTATCCAGTCAGAGAAATCAGAAGGAAAAAGAATGAGAAAGTCTATGGGAATTATATCATACCACCCAGAGACTCAACTTTTACAAAGTAGAAACTGAAGAACAAGAGATAGAAAAAGGCCTGGAAAGTATACTTTCTAGAAAGTATACTTAAAAGACTAATGGCTGAAAACTCCCTAAATCTAGGGAAAGGTTTCAATGTCTGTGTACAGGTAACTCAGATGTCTCTAAACAAATTCAACTTAGAGCAATTCACTAAGACATATCATAATCAAACTACTGAAGACAAATTCTAAAAACAGGAAGAGATAAGGTACACGTCATAGAGCAGGAAGTCTCTACATGACTATTAGCTCATTCTCAGCAGAAACCTTGCATGTTATGAGAGTGTGAGATGATATACTCAAAATGCTGAGGGAAGAATACTACCACCTGAGAATGCTTCACCTGGAAAAGCTATCCTCCTGAAATAAGGGAGAAATAAAAGCCTCCAAGAAAAACAAAATTTAGAGGAGCTCTTTACCCCTTAGGCTTGCCTGGCAGGAATTGTTAAAGAGAATTCTTAAAGCTAAAAAGGACAACTAAGTAATAACATAAAATATAGGAAAATAAAAAGCTCCTTGGTATAAGTAATATAGATTCAGAATATTTTAGTACTGTAACTGTGGTATGCAAGGTGATTTGCTTTCCAGTAAGAGAGTGAAAAGACAAAACTATTAAAACAACATTAGCTCAAGAAATTAAGGGATACGAACAGAAAAAAATGTAAATTATAACACTGAAAAAAATAAAATGAAGGGGAGAGTAACAGTGTACTTTGTTATGTGATAAAAGTTAAGAGCTTAAACTAGTCTATTATAATGTTTTATGTATTACACCTTATGGTAACCACAAAGGAAAAATTTATAATAGCTGAGCTAAACACAGAAGGATTCAGAGTATATCACTGCAGAAAATCACAAAACATAAAAAAGAAAGGAACAAGACATAAAGGAGCTACAAAACAACCAGAAAGAAATTACAAAATGGCAGTAACAAGTCTTTACTTAACCACAGTTGCTATTACTATAAATGGAATAAACTCTTAAAACACAGCTTAAAGGCTATCTTACTGAGAAAAACCTAGATAAATCCTTTAACTTCAGCGGCCCCTGGTTGACTTTTAAAAAATCACTGATTTTGGAAGTCACAGCTAGACAATACATTATTACTCTCCTACCAGCTTTGGAGATGACACCTCTGACTGAAGCTGCCTGATGGATTAAAAAATTTTATGTCCCTGTCTTCTGGGGGAGTGGCTTTTCTCTCTCTCTCTCATAGTTCTCGGGGTTAGGGGGAACAGCCTTTCACTATCTTCCTCAGTTCTCTGAGAAAAGATGTCTTTTGTGTCCTAATAATTAACTGCAGAATTAACTACTTCTGGGGAAAGGAACTAAAAACATACAATTCGTAAGACTTTCTAATCAGTAGCTTTTCTTTAGATTTACAGAACGCAGAATACCCAATGGTCTGTAGTCCATGCATCAGAAAGCAGAGCAACCAAAATTTATAACTGCCCTGCGATTTTGAACTCCCTCAGTGCGTGCCTATCTGAAATGCCAGCCCACAACTCTTTATAACTTGTTCCTGAAACTTCTAAGCAAGATGTCCTTTTTGGCTCTAATTCCCTCTTATTTGGTTTGCTAGCTTTGCAAATAAATCTTCCTCACCCTAACAACTTATCCTTGAGTCACTGGCCTTCTTGAGCAATGTGCAATGAATATGGCCTCATGGGTAAAGCCGAATGAATTTTTAAAACACTATATGCTTCTTAGAAGAGGCTCAATTCATACCCAAGGAAACAGACTGAAAGTGAAGGTACGCAGAAGGTATTCCATGGAAATGAAAAACAAAAGAGAATAAAGGTAGCCGTATTCCTAGGAGACAAAATACACTTTTAAGCCAGAAACTGTACAAAGAGACAAGGAAAGTCATTATACAGTGATAAAGAGTTGAGCTCATCAAAAGGATATAAAAATGTAAGTATGTATGCACTAATTATCAGAGAACTTAAGTAAATACAAGTATTAATAAAGTGAGAGATCAACTGCAATAAAATAATAGCAGGGTACTTCAGGACGTCTCTTTTATCAATGGACAGTTCACTCTGAGAGAAAGCCAGAAAAGGAACACTGGACTTAAATTACACTGTAGACTGAAAGTGGGCCTAACAGAACACTCCACCTAACCGCAATAAAGTTCACATTCTTCTCAGGTGTACATGGAGCATTCTCCAGAAGAACTCACATGTTAGATCATAAAACAAGTCTTAACCAATCTAACAGATTGAAATCGTAAGTTCTCCTTTCTGGTCACAACAGAATGAAACTAAAAATTTATAAGGAAAAATCTTGGAAAACCCATGAATATGTGGAAATTGAACATTCTCCTGAAACAAACCAAGGGGTCAAAGGAGAAACCAAAAGAGAAATCAAATACCTTAAGACAAATGAAATGAAAACAACATACCAAAACTTACCCAGCAAAAGCAGTTCTAAATAGGAAATTTACAGTAATAAATGCCTATATCAAATGAAAAGATCTCAAAAAACCAATGTTGCACCTCAAGGAATTACAAAAGTAAAAAAGTAGGTCCAAAGTTAGCAGAATGCAGGAAATAATAAACATGCTATGTGGTCAAAAAATTAGGTGAATGTTTCATGTTGCTATTAACCTCCCTTAATGTTCTCCCTTATCTTTAATCACATTTATCTAAGAATGAATCATAAATAAGTAGGAAGTCTAAATAGACCAGTAATGAGTAAAAAGATTCAATCAGTAATAAAAAGTCTTCCATCAAGAGTAAGCGCAAGATCAGATGGTTTTGCAGCTGAGTTACACCAAATATTCAAAGAAAAACTAACACTAATGCTTTTGAAATTCTTCTCAAAAGCTAAAGAGGAACAAATAGTTCCAAACTAATTTTACAAGGCCACCATTGCGCTAATACGAAAAGGACCTTACAAAAAAGAAAATTACAGCCCTGTATCACTGATACATATAGATTCAAAATTCCTCAACAAACTAAACTCATTAGAAAACTGATGTCAACTAGTTAAAATGAACAGACAATATGATCAAGTAGGATTTATCCCTGTAATCAGAAGGTTTTTCAAAGGTATAAATGTGATACATTCCATTAACAAAATGAAGAATAAAAACCACATGACCACCTCAATAGGTGAAGGAAAAGCATTTGACAAAATTCAACATCTTTTCATGATAAAATTCTTAACAAATTAGACACAGAAGAAATGTATTTCAAAATAATAATAGCCATAAAAAATAAGCCCACAGCTAACATATTCAATGGTGGAGCACTGAAGCTTTTCCCCTAAGATCAGGAACTAGATGAGGAAGCTCGCTTTCATGCAATTTCTCAGTATAGTACTAGAAGTCCTAGCCAGAGCCACTGGACAAGAGAAAGCAAAAAATTACTAGGAAAAGAACTGAACATATCTGTCGGTTGATGACATAATCTTATATACAGAAAACCCTAAAGACTCCACCTGAAAACTGAAAACTAATAAATGAACACAGCAAAGTTATAAGATACAAAACCCAACATTTATAAACCAGTAGCACTTTTATACACTAACAGTAAACTATCTGAAAAAGTTAAGAAAATAATCTCATTACAACAGCAATAAAAATTGGTATAAATTTAACCAAAGACTATCAAAGACTGTAGGAAAAAATGATTAAATCAAAAGATATCCATGTTCTTGGATTGGAAGAGTTAATATTACTAAAGCGTCTATTTTAGCAAATGCAATCCACAGATTCAATCAAATCCTTACCAAAATTCCAATGTCACTTCTCACAGAATTAAATAAAATAATCCTAAAACTTGTATGAAATCATAAAAGACTCCAAATATGCAAAGCAATAAAAAAGAACAAAGCTGAAGCCACAATCACAGTACTACCCGACTTGAAAATGTACTAAGAAGCTGTGATAACCAGAACAGCAAGGTGGCAGCATAAAAGGACACACACTGACAAAGGAATAAGACATTCCAGAAATAAGCCCACATATTAATAGTCAATTGATTGTTGATAAAGATGCCATGACTAGACAATGAAAAATAGACAATTTCATTAGTAGGCGGTGTTGGAAAAGTTGGCTATCCACTTGCAGAAGATTGTAAAACTGGGTCCTTAACTCACACCACCATACACGAAGAAACCAACTCAAATTGGATGAAATATTTAAACAGAAAGCCTGAAACTGTAAAACCCAAGGACAAAACACAGGAGAAAAGCTTCTTGACATTGGTTTGGCAAAGATTTCTTGACTATGATGGACAACAAAAGCAACAATAGACAAATGAGATTACACTAAACTAAAAAGCTTCTGCACAGAGGAGAAACACTCAAAAGAGTGAAGAGATAGCCTGCAGAGGGGAAGAAAATATTTACAAACCATACATCTGATAAGGGATCAACAGGCAAGGTATATAATGAGTTCAAATAGCTCAACAGCAAAAAAAATCCAACCGTTAAAAAATGGCAAATGACTTGAACAGACATATCTCAAAAGAAGACAGTAAAATGGTCAACAGGTTCATGAAAAAGGCTCAACATATTAATCACTAGAGACATGCAAAATAAAACTATAATGAACTATCACCTCACACCTTTCCAAGTGATCGGTACCCCAAAATGGAAGATAGCAGGAACTTTTCAAGCAACAAAAAGTACAACTACCATTTGATGGAGCAATCGCTCTACTGGGTATAATATCCAAAGGAATTGAAATAAGTATTTTGAAGAGATATTTACACGTTCAAATTCACTGAAGCATCATTCACAATGGCCAAGATGTGCAATCTCCCCAGATCTCCAGCAAAAGATAAATGGATAAAGAAAGGGTGACATGCAATGGAATGCTCTGTGACCCTCCAAGAAGAAGGAACTTCTGCCGTTTGCAACAACACAGATGAATCTGGAAGCTTCTGTGTTCAATGAGCAAGGCGTAGAGAGACAAAACTGCATGATCTTACCTACATGTGGAATCTGAACAGGTCAAGTGTCATGGAAATAGACTGTGAGAGAATGGAGAAAGAATTGGGAGACGTTGTTCCAAGAGTAGAGTTTCAGTTAAATGAGAGAAATGAGGGCTAATGATCTATTCTACTACTAGTCACTGAATAATGACTACATCAACATTGGCAAGAGTAAATTTCAAATGTCTCATCATAAAAAACGAGATGTTGAATATCTTGACTAGCCCATTTTAATTATCCACAATATATGTATATCAAAATTTCATATTCTATAAATATGTATTGATTTGTCAATTAAAATTAGTATAAAAATTAAATTATTTTGAGTCTAAAAACTTAAGAAGGAATAGTAAGCAAAAGTGGATGGAAAAAAGAGAAAGTCAATCAAGGAGAGTAAATTTGGTCTATTTAATATTTCTCAATGAAATCTTCACACAAAAGTGATCTGTGGGGTTTTTTTTTAGCTCATCACATAAAATATTAAAGATGAATAAGAAATTTTGAAATTTAAAACATTACTCAACTATTCTGCAATCAAAACAGAAACAATTTAAAACACATAGAAGACTTTGCAAACCTAAGCACTAACAAAAACAGTATTATATCAAAATGGAATATATGTCACTTTAGATAACACTAACCGAAAATGCCAAACCCCACTCCATTCTCCACACACAATTTAGCCACTACTCAAAAAACAAGTCTTATGAAATAAGGTTGGTATAAAAATAGGTTTTCAGTCGCTATAGATACGAAAGATTCTGCTTCATCATACCTCATTCTAAATTCTATTCAACTCCAAGTAAAACAAAGACCACAACATCAAGTGAAATCCCTGGCTTCAGGAGAAATGGAGAACAAATGATCAGGTTAATAATATCCCTTAGTTCCTGAGGGCTGATCAGGTCCACAATGTCCTAAACAAGCGTAGGAAGAAAGCTAAATAAAAAGAGGCAAATGGAATGATTTCAGGGCCTTGGGAGAATCAAAGCCCTCTCACAGAATTTGAGATTCTCTCAAGTTAAGACTAAGACCTTCTCTAGGTGGCCCATATTTATTGAGTTATCAGAAGAAGGGAGGGGAGTACTCAAGAAGGTCAGAACCACTGAAGGACTTCTCCAAGTAAGGTGTTAAATTAATCCACCCAGGAGTGAGATTCCTGAGGTTATAGTCTTTATCTAACTGAGGTTGGATCCAGGTGTCCTTGGTGTGATCTTGTCTTAACCTTTGAGGCTCTCTGGCTTTATCTGTCATTACAGTCCTTAGTAGGGATTAGTGACTCACAGTGGTTCACTTACTAGAGTCCACCACCTACATCCTGACAAGGAACCTTGGCCTTCAACAGATTCACAAGTAAACATGGAAAGTCAATTGGTTAATTTAAGTCCTGCTCAGGACTGCTTCGTAGGGGTCTCCATCAGGGAATGAATAAAATTCTGTGATGGTTCAGTGTTTAAAGAAGCAACAAAGAAAAGTCATGATGGGTCTTGGATCTTCCAGACATAGTCTCTGAAGAAAAGTCTCATGTGTCCATACCTTAAAAAGTATGCTGTTGGTCTTAACTTTTTTCTTAATATATCATAAAGTTCTTAAACAAGCTGCCATATCGGCAGCTCAAAAATGTCAAGATTAAGTCACTGAAATTCGCTTATACTGGTTGCAAAGTGGTTTCTGTTGCAGTTCTGGACGTCTGGGAAGAGAATAGCAATGGGATAGATCAAAGAGTTTGTATCAGCTGATGTGAGTCCTGCTCTAAGCAGTTTTCCTACAAATTCCTACCAGTAGTAAATTAATTATGTTTATATTTCAATCCCAAGAACTATTTTAATTTTCCAGCTTCTCCTTCAGGGTAAGAGTGTGTAGTTGAAGTTTATGTCTCTTACTGCTCTAACTAAAGTAAGAGTTCTATGAGAAAGTAGGACTGCATGATGTATAAACATCTGGCAATCTCAGTCAAGTACAGTCAAATGAGCTCCTGCTCTTTCTCCAGTAAAGTACTACACATGTTGCTATAAATAATTTGACATATAAAAATAACATTACAACTATTTTTGCTACCAGGAATCAAACTCAGGACCTTTGCTTGCCAGGCAGGTACTGTGCCACTGAGCTATCTCCCCAGCTCTAAATGGCAGAATTGATACAAGACAGTATGTCTGTATATATATTAGTGTGAGGAAAGACTGGAATGAAATATTCCTATGGATATAAATTTGTTATAATTTACTAGCACTGTGAGAGAACTTACCTAAATTCAAGTAACAGGGTTAACATAACCATTTACAAATTAAGTATTCTTTCTTAGTCTGAGCATTGCTCTTTATTTTATTATTTCATTTCATTTGTATACTTCAGTTTATATTTACTGACTTTAGTGAATTCACTATCATAAAAATTTTTAACTATTCTTATTTTATTAGTACATGTTTATGGTACATCATGTTTACATTCCTTGTGGGAAGTTGGTACGTGTACATATCACATCTTAATTCCTTTTCAATCCTGTCCTTCCCCATCACCAATTGTTACCACAGCATTTTAACAAGTAAACATTTAAGAAATTCATAGTCACGCAAAAATATGCCATAATTGCAGATAAAGGTTTAACTTGTGGGCTACAGCCCCTCGTCTGTATTCTCCGCCTCTTCCTCTGTCCCTCTGTGCATGAGTGGTGTGTGTGTGTGTGTGTGTGTGTGTGTGTGTGTGTATGCGTATGTGTGTGTGTGTGTGTGCGCGCACACTGAGTGTTGAACCTAGAGCCTTCCCACTGAGCTATATCCTTAGACCTTTTAAAAAATGTTTTATTTTGAGACAGGGTCTTGCTATGTTGCTCATTACCAGGCTGTGGTAGAACTCATGGTATTCCTCCTCAGCCTCCCAGAGTGCTAGCATTACAGATCTGTCTTCTCTTAATGTCCTCTTTATTCAATTTGTTACACCATCTGTTATAATCATTCATCTTTATACAATAAAACATATGAACCAGAAATATGTCTATAAATAATGTCTCAAAATCTACAACACTGGGTGGTGTAAAACAAGCATTCAATGTTTTTCATAGAAATGAATAAAAGAAATCAAGTTTGTTGAATTCTTCAGCCCAGTTAGTAATAGAGTTATTATCATTTAAAAATAATAATGCTACTATTTTCACAAATCAGCCAAACGAATGAAGAATGACAAGGTTTTAATCTGAGGTTTTTGGTATATTTTTCTTTGCTTATTTTGCTTCTGCAAACGAGATTGGTCTTTGATGAATGTTGTTATGGAAAAACTTCACTTACTCAATTAAGCACTTAAGGTTATAAGCTAAATTCCTTTTGATTATTTGCTTTTCTTGTTTTGCTTTATTTTGTTTTTCAAAACCAAATACTTAGATTCTTCGGATGCTGTGATTAAGAATTGATTAATTATCACAGTGGCTTCTGCTATGGTTTCAGTGTCCCTTCAAAAACTCAACTCGAAATTTAATTGCTACTGTAACAGTGTTAAAAGGTGATCAGGTTGTGAGGGCTCTGCCCTCATAAGTGGGTTAAGGTCTTTACTGGCAGAGCACATTAGTTACTGGGGGAGTGGGTTCCCTCAGTGAAGGGCTGAGTTGGACCAGATTTTTCTCTCTCCTCACTAGCACTCTCATGATGCTATGTAGTGGGAAAGCCCACCCTGAATGCCAGCGCTGCCCTACTTCTGGAAATGTTAGCAAATATTTTTCTTTATGTATTAACCAGTCTGTTGTAGCAGCACAAGGGACAGGGCAGCCTCTATGTAGACTGTATATTTACAAAATATAAATATATATTTATAATATGTATTTAAATATACTCTAAAATTTTACATGTTGCCTAATTTCATTTAAACATAAAATCTGAAAGATCAGAAAGTTCCTTTATTATCATAAAAGGGTAACAGAGAGAAAATTTACCTCTGTTCATTCTGCGTCTTCCGTTATCTTAAAACTACTCTTAAAAAAAAAAACACATTTAAAATTGCATGATCTAGTATGGCCCTAAAAGGATGATAGAATGAAGGTAGAGGACAGAATTAGTGATTTCTCTGATTATGTGTTTTAAGTCTGTTATCCAACTACAATGATAACATGAATGTATCCAGATGGCATTCCCCTTCTTGTAAATTGAGGTTTTATTCGTCAATTCAACAGCAATAGCAGAATGATGAGCTAAACTTAAATTTTCTAATAATGTAAGGAACTGGCCAGCCAGTGTGAATTGTGCTAGAAGCCAGAATTAACCCCACTGGACAACAGCAGTGGTTTTCAGAATTTTGTCTCCATTGCAAGCTAGAAGGGTTTTCCCAAAATAAAGTTAATATCATGTATTTAATGACTGTAAAGAAAAAGGAGTGGATTTTAAAGCCAGTACCAGCAAAACTGCTGAACTAGGGGTATTTGCAGGAATACCCCTAGAGGAAAAGATACAGAAGATAGTTAACTGAAATCCATGCAATGAATTTACAAGATTAAAAAATTTCACTTTTAAATTGCTGCCAATACTTCAAAAAAAATTTATGCCTTTTTTGGTAACCTATTTGTTTCACTGAGAATAGATACAGAGCATGGCTTCTTTTTAAAATATGATTATATACACAGATAGAAATAAATCCAATAGTAATATATTTTCACAATTAAAATGTGTATATTTTGCACAACTAATTGCTCATAGCTAACACTCATTAACGGATTTCACCGCTGAAGTAAAAAGTAGGTTATTATTTAAGCAATATTAAATGAGATTTTTAAAACTTCTTCAAAGTGAAAGAAACAGTGTGAAGCACTTTTTCAGAAAGTTGAAGTTTGTTCCATTTTCTCTCCTGGACCTCATTTTTGAAACAGAAATTCTCATTCTAAAACAAACTCTAAGCTTTTATTTCTAAATTCAAAATCCGGTTATCTGCTATCACAGCAGTCCCCAAATGGATAAAGGTGCTCTACAGCTCTGCTGGCTTTTACACAAAATATTTCCACAAGAAAATGACAGCAGTTCAAAACAAACACAGAAAAAGAAAACTGTTAAAAAATATAGACTATAGAAAAAATCTAAAAACATTATTCCCCACATAAAAAATCTGCTGATTGATTTTCGTTTAGAATTTGAACTGTATCAGAATCACACTTTTAATCAAATGATAATCTGGATCAGAAGGCTTCTAATTTATCATGTTTTGGCATATATATTTAATATTTTATTTAGCATTTGTTCAATTTTGCCCTGTAAGAATTACTTGACTGAGCTGTGAAGAAGCCTAGCTAAAGGAGTCCACTACACATGGAATCTCTCACTACAACATTCGTATCACAGGTCCTTTCTTATTTCAGAGACCAAGTTGCCCTTAGCAAAACTGTGTAGGATTAAAACCAGTGAAGAACATTCCTTCAATAGAGGACAACCAAAATAATATCCTACTCAAGAGCTGTCATCACTATTAGTTTTCAAGAGTTTGAATTAGCACCACTCAAAAGGTGAGGCCCAGGGAGAGCTGCTCGCAAAGACACAGCATGGAAAGAGGGGATGAGGGGAAGTAGTGGGGTCCCAGAGGCAGGCACCACTTTCTTGGGTCAGCTAATGAGCCCATAAAAATATAACACCAAGAAGGGAGAGCACATGAACTTGTAAGGTGAAGAAGAAGAGTCAGGGAGGTTGGCAAGTTTGGTGAAGGGAGACAGAAGGCAGACTCTGAGCTGAGAACAGGACAATCAGACGGATCTGAGGAGAGGACCAATTGAAGGAGTAGTTCCAGGGTAGTTCACAAATCCCACCTGTCTTTCCTGAATATCCTCAGCTGGTGGCCATCTCATTTTGTGTCTGGGTAGGCATCTCATTAAATGGCACATGACACTTCATTATCTCTATGG